TTTAAACCATGTCCAAACAACTGCTTAGTGACAAACCATCAATCCGCGTGAGATTTTTTTATGAACGTTAATAAGAGGGTACATATAAAATTAAGTTTTAAAAATACGTCTCGACTATAAAAAATTAAAAAGTCTGACGTGACGCGTAATCTTATTTAGATGAATTTCCGAAAGCACAAGCTGTAAGGTAAATCAAGGCGTCAAGAACAACGAGCTACCTCTGCTGAGGCAACATATGATGCCTCGTGTTATGTACGCGCGCACGCAAGGTGCACGCTGCACAGCAGCCAGCATCTTCTCAGCCAGTTTCGTGTCATGAGTAAAATAATGCTCGTGAAAAGGTGGACTAAATGAAACGTCAGTCGCATTATTCTCCCCTGCCGTTGCGCGCGTTCTTATGTGTGTGTACGCGTGTATGTGCGTGGCTCGTTTACGCTGCGCGCAGGTGAGCACTCGCTGTAGCAGAATTACTAGCTCTCGCATAGCCCGGTGGTGGCGGTGGCCTCCTGCGGCATCAGACAGAAGAAAAAAGGAGAAAATAGCTCGCAGTAACGTGTGGTTACTGAGCTGAAGCCTTATGTATGTGCTTTAATATATATACATAAACTTACACGAAGCTTGTGCATTATTATTATTTATTATTGAGAGTAGAGGAAAATCATCATTAGCGTTCCCGAGCCATTACCAACGAGCTTTTGTTTAGTAAAGACAAACTTACACCTTTGCCCAACAGCCAGTAAGATCCACGCATAATAGGTCCTAGAGCAAATGCACTTTTTTCGAATTAATTTTCTTCACTATATTTACATTAACGAGAGCCTAACGAAATGATGAAACTGAAAGTCGCGTATAAAAGTAAACACATAATTATTCTCTTTCGAGTAAAAAAACATGATATTTGAACACGAGCTTGGATAAAAGCTCGAATTTGCGTATTTCTGGATTGAAATATCTTTTTCTTTTATTTTAAAGCACGTAATCGGGAATAACTTTATAATTACGAAGAAACCGATATTTTGGAATGCAATTTTAAATTAAATTCTTCATAATGAATTACTATGAACGCGTGCAAAAAATTTATTTGCGTTGCTAAGCGATTAAAGGTAACACAAATCAGCTTTGAAGTACAATTGAATGCTCTATACGGACATAAAACAAACGGGAAAATCGAAAGAAGTGTGTAAACAGCGAACTCGAGCGATCGCGATCTCTATTCAAGGCTCCCCAATTCAACAGAGCGCTCAGCGCTGAATAGTGCCCTCTCACAGATTGACAGCCAATATAACTATACATTATGCACGTGTGTATGTGCGCCGCGCCTGTGAAAGTGTACGGTAACAAGGTAAATGCATTCGTTGCATTGCGCCGATTTATCTGGACAACGGCTGCCCACAGCAGCAGCAGCAGCAGCAGAAGACCTCGAGTAAATTTCACCAGTAAATCACTATGCATTTACTTGGGTTTGCTCGGCGTGGGAGTGGGAGAAAGAGAAAGAATGAAAGAGTAAAAGAAAGGGGAAAAAGAGGGAGGAAAGAAGCTAGATCATACAAGCGCGTACATACAGCCAAAGCTTGAGAAGATTGGCCTCTTTCTCTCTCCGTAGCGCGCCATGATTTTTACGACTTTATTCATGAAGCATGAATTATGGTTTGACCACTTGTTCAGCCAAAAATGCCACCATACAAGCCTTACCAGCTGTAGCGAGTCACTAAAAGTATCATACAGCGTAGCTGCTTTCTCCTACCCCCGACATACCGAGTGAATTTCTTATATCTAGAGGCAAATGAAGCGATCTCTTAACGTCCTGGTACGCACGCTTATCGTTATTTTGCTGCGTGACAGTGGCAAAGTGACTCTACGTGTATATGTGCGCACAAAAGCTCAGCTTTTTTCTCCCAAGTTAGCACGTAAATGACTTCACTCGTGTTTTCCTATGTACTCTACACGGGCTGAGTCGAGCGTACGAATGCATTTTTATACATATTATGCGTAAACTCCGGCGGACTAAGAGTTTTTAGGTATTATACTTGACAAATTTTTTTCCCCTAAGATTCTTTTTTTCTACTCCTTCTCTCTCTCCTCCTTGCCGTCGAGGATTTATTTCAAAAGTTCCTGCTTGTAGTTTCCATACTAACAATGCTTCAAGCTCATGATGTTTATAAACGTGATTTTAAATTATTTCATAATCCCACTGTTGACAGTTAAAATGCTGTTTTTTTTTATGTCCATCTACTCGAGTTTTTAAAAGTTATTCTTCGTTTGTATTACGAAATTTGGTCAACTCAGGTCGAGTGAATAAAATATAAAATAATATTTTGTTAAATAAATACTGTTTGGGCTGCCTTCGTTCGTTAAAATCAGTGTACGCACCCAGATACAAAATAATTTTCGCTCATCTGCAGTTTTCAATTTTTACTACTCAGGTAGTTTTTATAAGGCGCGTAAACAAGCAAACACACACGCTCAAGTGCAAACATACACTGCCCTATCAAAAGGATCGGTCGACTGGCAATATATACCCAAGCGACAGTGCTGGCCGCGAACTGATAAAACTGTAGTCTCTCTCTCTCTTTCTCTAGCCTGCACTAGAGTGAAACTGGCCTATACGTATACCCGCTTATGTACAGCAACACTACACGTGAGTGCGGGCCTATGTGAGTGAGCACAAAGAGATTCGCTGCCGTTTTAGCCTATACGCTTGACTTGCACGATATGTCGCGCGCGCGCTTGTTAAAGTAGTGCAAAAGTTTCGAGTTGCGCGCCAAACTTTGTTAGATCGCGAGCGCCGACTACTGTGACAGGCTAAGAGGGACTTTTTCGAATAAGCCGAATAGCAGTAAAAATAAATACTTAACTTGAACGTTGCGCATGTATCGCCCCCACGTTGTATCGTAAATTTAATATATTCTCAAAATCGAAGTATCCAATTTCAAAGTGTCGACTCCGACGCAAAGTTATTTTTAAATCATCACAATTTTTTTTCAACTGTGGCAGAAAATTAAGCAATGACTTTTTCGACGTTTCAAAATTTAACGGCGATAATTGCATTAAAGGATCCTCGCGTTGATTGAAAAGTTCGGTTTGAGCGCGACGCGCTTGCTATTTAAATTTTATACTGAAAAAATATCTTGAAATCACTCGCTTCAGTAATGTGTGGCTAACATAACAAAACAAATCAACAAACGTACCGACGTATCCAATCCGCGCGTTGCAGTCCGTTATAAATAAACATATTTAATTTGGACTTTTAATTGACGCAATCTAAAAGTCTTATTAGATGCAAAAATAACTGAATTATAAATAGCGCAATGTTCACGTACTACTTTTCACTAACAAAAATTATATTGAAATCGTGTGTCTAACAAAACACGCGGTGTAAGGACAAGCTTGGCCCGAGCACACATTTATGTTTCAGTACTTTACATAAATGTTTTTTCTTTCTGTTCAAACTGACGTTGGTTGACACGATGGAAATTCTATTTGCTTCGAAAAGGAAAGAAAGAGAAAGATTCTCCGTGATCGTTATTTCTGGTGTACACATACTCGTAATGGACAGCGCTCACGTATGTACAGAGTATACGGAAACACGCGCGTACAGAGTAGGAGCTTGCAGGAGAAAAAGCTAATTTCCGACTCGAGCTATATTCAAATGTTATGTCAACAGTTACTCTACTTCGCACTTTCACATGCACTCAAATACAATCACACGTAGGACCAAAGTCGCCGCCTAGTTGATACGTGCGAGTACATAGACACACATACCGTTCTTCGTTTCGCGTCCAATTTTCGCTCTTCTCGGAAGAAATCCGATCTACTCGTTCGTGCGCGTACGTATGTATATGCAGGCTAGAAAATAGTGTATGCGTGTATTCATTTCTTTTCTTTTTGTAAAACTCTAGTCAAGTAAATCTACACGAAATGTACCCAAAGAGCAGCAGCTTGTAATAAAACTCCAATCCTCAGTCCTGTATATATAAACAACTTCGATACTCGTTGGCGCTTCTTTTTGCCTTCTTTTCGTGTGCTACTGCCGGAGCTGCGCCACTGTTGCGATGTAAACTCACTTTCGATGAGTTGACGAATTGGCACAACACAAACATTGAGCAAATAATGCGCTGCATTGAACGCACACCTTGCTATTACGACAGCTAGATTTAACTTCCACCTATACTAACATGCACACAAACATACCAACTCGCGCGTTGTCGAGCGGCAAGCAGACGAGAAGATGTTCGGGCAAGTTGGGACAATATAGTCTTACCGAGTTACATTATTGATTGATAGTCATGCCACGCGGAAATTGAAAAATCCTTTCAACGATTTTTTGCCGCAGCATCAGAAATTTTTTCTATCTATTACTTCCGCCGCAGCAGATCGTTTCTAAGCTATGTAAATTTTCTTCGCGAGTCGGCGATGAAATTGAAGAAGAAGGATTTACAAATTTGAATTTAACAAATTTATAAAAAAAAGATATAAATCACGATGAAAATTTTTCTTTGGCAATCATTCGATTTTTCGGAATTTTATTGAATAATATTGAAATTTAAAGAAAGTTATTCATTTTTCAAAGCACATTATTTTACCACGTTTATCTTTAATTTGAATAAATTTATCTTGAATTTAATAAAAATATAATTCAACAGAATAGTTATTTTTTTGTGACGATTTAAATTTGTGGATATCGGAAAAGTTGCAATGTTTTACATGCAAATTTTTCAATATCCCTGCAATTATTGCTTTCACAGTTTTGAATCAAATATTAAATGTGTATCGTTCACAATATCGACTGCGATATAAAACAAGTTCCCTCCAGAGATCGCAGTTATATGCATAAATCGGAATTTATATTTTGGTATGGGTGAGTGCCACTTTCAGTACCAGCTATTGCTCCACACTGATAAAAATAACTTAGTGCTCGCAGAGAGAGAGAGAGAGAGAGAGAGAGAGAGAGAGAGAGAGAGAGCTTTAAATTAATATGAAACAATGTTTTCGAGTCTCACCGGAAGCTGGAGGTAGATTGTCGGTACGCGCATTATCGGCAAACAACAGCAGTGACAGAAGCAACCGCAACACCAACAGAATAAACCGTCGATGATGATCTTGATACTGGAGCAAGTAAGCCGGCTTATCAAAAAACGCGCCGGCGGTCTTGGAGCAGCTGGGCCGATCACGGCGAGTCCCTCTCCTCGTGCACATAATCATCCTGGCACACGCGAGTTTACTGCGACCGAACTCAAGCGACTCGACATCACGACTAAAGTAGCTACGCGTAGCTGCGGGGGCAAATCTCTGGAGCTCTGCAACGTGAGGGTAGTATCTCTCTCTCTCCCCTTGACTGTGTGTATTTGTTGCACACGCGGTCGCGCGCAGTCGCAGTTCGGAGCGCGCGGCCGCTTGCATTTCTCGGCCGTCGCGCAGTAGTAGCACCTACTTCTTCCGATATTTCCTAGAGCGTGAAAAATGGAGCTACTGGACACTTAACTTGCCGGTGAGATACTCTAATATCAAAGTGAACTATAAAGGCACCGAGGTATATATAGCGGCACCAACAGGCATTCTTTTAAATTAAAACCTTTTTTGCTGTTATTTATAGAGATTAATTAGATTGGTGGGTTATTAATTTTCACACGTGGAATAGTGGAGTTTTTAATACATCGTAGGATCTGCACGGAAAATTTTATTAATTGAATTTACAAAAATTAGGGAGAGCAAATTTTGGAAAGGGATTAAAAACTTTACATGGGGAAAACAAGAACGCGTGCTGACACTTCTAGTGCAGCATTATCCATGCTGTATTATCTTCGAGTATTATTACGTCGAAGCAGTATTGTTTCATTTTATTAATGTCGAGGCACACCAGATTATTCGAATTAAAAAACCTACAAGTTAAATAGTTGAAAGATGAGTAAAAAACTAAAGCTTTTTCAACAATTGATTTTGTTAAATATTAAAATTGTAAATCATCAAAAAGGTTTGATTTATGTTTTTCAATTTTGTAGATATTTCAGCTTTTTGTATCTTTTATTTTCTGCTATTTTATTTTTTATTTTTTTAAGTTAGTTCTAAAGTCCTGAATTTTTTCGTGTAATATCATTGCATTTTACGCATGAAAAGATAGCTTTTGCAGTAGAAAATGAATATCAACCAATTTTAATAAGCCTTATAAACCCCAGAACAACCTCATAAACAACTCCATTAACAGCTTCAAAACAGTCCCCAAAGCAACCCTGCAAAATCCCATAAATAGCCTCGAAACAGCACTAAAAACAACCGTTATTTATAAATTCTATAGCAACCGTTGATTGTTTGTTAACCCCACGTGCAGCATGGAATGGCAGCTCGCAAACAATCTCAAAAACTTCATAAACAACAACCCCAAATAACCCCAAAACAATCCCCAAACAACCCCAAAAACAACCTATAAAATAACCTTTAATTAAAAACCAATAAACAACCGTAATAATTTCATAAGTTTTTTTGCTTTACGCAGGTAAACAACGGTTACTCATCGGAAATAAATAATTATTTTGTACGGAAAAAAGATGTAGATTTAACAATACTAAACAGAGACAAATCAAAAATTTTTTTTTTCATTCTATCATGTCAGATATCTGTAAGCCCATAGTCCTGTTGGTTGCGTTGAAAAAGGTGTACATAATCAGAAGCCAAACAAGGATAGACATTATAGGGGTTCTCTAAGCGCAAAAGTTGAAGTGCGGGTCTCATCCTTTATCGACATTATTTATAGCTCGCTATTAAGCAACACTTAAGTGTGAACTCGAGCCGGTGCCTGCGTACGAAACACCTGTGGATCGCTACTACCTATAACGTAATGACACGGAGTCGACCTAAGCCTGCCCTGATATTCTGTCTTCTCGATTGCCGAGAACAACTGTCTCCAACATACATTTACTCCAAAGTAGATGTATCTCTCACCATTTGATTCAATTTTTTAATGGATTGAATTAGATCGCTGTGACGAAATTATAATATTTTGTGGTATTGATGCATATTTCATGATAATAAATTATCGTTCACAAAACACAAGTGTACGTGGATTATGTTATAATGGCAAAAGACTAGCAAACGAACTTGAGTTCACCACCTGTGAACATTCATTTCTCAAAAAAATCTATCATCCATTACTAATTCACGGTTTCATACGCTTTTCAAAAGCTCAAGCTTTTTTATCGTGTGTGTTTTTCTAATATTAAAAGTGCTGTTTGAAAGACGAACTTTTAATGGCAAAGCTGATGCACGCTATATGAGTGACTTTAGTATTGAATCAATTAACTCGAGCTCGTGGAAAATAACATTGCATTACTCGCTTTTAATATTCAACGTGTCGCATGCTTGCGTGCGACTAAGTGCACACATGCGAAGGGACACTACTGTAACTTGGCGAGCGATAGAACTTGTTAGTAGGTATATTTTATTTCTCATAAATTAATGATTTAGATAAACACAAGGCGGGATATTTCTAGCTATGATTATGCCTGTATTATGAATAATTCTCTGAAGAGGCAAAAATTCGAAGTTTATGGAGTTCGGTTCAAAGCGACTCAAGCTAAAATGCGAGATGACGACCGAGCTGCATCCATGACATTTTTCATGCACCACGGGACTTTGCGTGTTCACTGGACTATGCGATTTAGCAATTATTTTTTATACATTTTATTTATATTTTTTCTTTTGTTTTACCATTTTTTTCAATGCAGCTTCCGTTGTCAGCTTTATAGCATATCCATATAACCTTTATGTATGCATTCGAGCCTGCGTATAAAATTTTTTGTTCATTTTGGTGATCCATGCTATGAACCGCTGTTGAGAATTCACCAGAATATATAATTGGTTCGCACATGCTGTGTTGGCTTCGACTATATAACAGTTACATACTTCTTGCTCGGTGCACTCAAAAGTGAAAATTTTTTTTTGACAGGAACTAATTTAGCGTTGTATATTAATTAATAGGAGAGATTCAGAGCATCGACTTACAAAGCGGCGCGCCTATATCTCTGACTGAGCAAGTTCGTTTAAAAGTGAAATAATTGATAAGCTTTTTCGCTCAAATTACTTCATCTAAACGCAATTCTTACTCATAATTTTCAACCGTACAAAAGTTCTAAAGGTCTATTTGCAATTTCGTATTTTAAAATGTCGCCGGATAATGATGCTCGAATCTCGATATACGCCCTAGCCGGTTCACGTTCACTCTCTTTGGTAACACTTGCGGTGCATGGAGGCATAATTAATAAACTCGCAGGCATCGCCATGAAATATGACTTTGAATGAAGAACGCAGTTTTAATTGTTTATTTAGCCTACCGTTCTGTGCTAATGAATCATCCAAAGTATGATTGATGCTTCGGACTATATACATTTTACGCGCTACGAGCAAAAATTCTCGGGCGATTTTCTGAGTGCCACTGCCTTTGAACACAATAATACAAAAAAGTACGAAATAATTTCTGGCACACGCACGACTGCCGCGCTTATATCTGATGTCTGTAAATTTTTTTCCTTCCATAGCTAATTGGTGAAACAAAATGTAACGGTGCGCGCTAATTGAAGCTTGCTTGTTAATTTTCACGCTTTTGCATTGTTTTCACGATTTTTGCAAATACGACGTACACGGGCGAGCTTCCTTGCAGAATTTAAATCTCTTGCAAATTTGCAACTGTAAATGTAAATTACAAACCTTTACAAGCTTGCAGCTCGTGTAACCTCAATATCTAGGGGCTGTTTTTGAGAAAATCTTGCCTATAGAAAACGAATTTCTCGATATAATGATCCTAGTATGACAGACATCCCTAGGATTAACCGACTTTGAGAAGATCGAAGGTATTGCGTCATACGCAAGATCGCGCGGAAATTGCAAGCGCATAACAATATTTGCTTTTGACCATCCTGGGATAGAGACTCGGGACCATAGCACGGCTGTCCGATCGTGATAAGAGGAACACAGCGTTTACGCGTGCGCGTGGTGCCGGGTTATTTGTCTTCAATTATAAATAGCTGACAAGAGCTACCGGAGTTAACAAGCTATCCATCGAACTAATGCATGTTTAAAGCGCTCAAAGGAGAACCTGACGGGTGATACACCTCTTCTCCTAATACAATATCTATTCAACAATGTTATCTTTACACGGTGAATAAAATCTATTCAGAAAATTGTAGAGTTTTTTTGATTTTCCTAATCAAAGACTCGATCGAAATATGTAGGTCGTTTAATTGAAATTTCATAAAAATTTAGTCAAAATTAAATTTCGAAATAGTACATCATGCTGTGTCGAGCAATGCTTTTCACAAAATTTGTTAGAAAAATTTTTGTTAATGAGATGCAACATACATTTGAATTACTGTCACGTTGACTATATTATTAAAAGTCTGATTATTAAGCAAATTTAATTAACTTGTCAATGTTTACATGGCGTTGTAAGAAATCGATATAAAAAAGGTAATTTTCACTATGATTTTATTTACTGTTTACATGAACGATGTCACATCGTTACGTTTTGTATCAAATTTTCTCATTACCAATTTAAGAGAAAATCATCATACCAGTCATAGTATAGGGGTTGAAAAAAGCCATCACTAGAACAAAGAGCACATATGTATAACTCTACGAGATTCATTCTGAGTGTAAATTATTCCAGAGAAAAAAGTAAATTTGGAACATGTGGCGCCTGTACGCGCGTGTATTTTAATGTATTCAACGTATATACACCAAATGCCAGGTGTCCAATGTACCGCTGCAGGTATATAAAATTTAAAGCAAACCGTCGGTGAATGAGAATTTTGACGCTCGCGGATGAGGGAAGTCGACGAAGTCAACGTAGAATACTTAAATATCAGCGTAAAGTGTATCCCTAGGATTCGAGATAATACATGCAATAGCCCTCTAGCTCGTATAGCCCAGGACTATGTGCTATGAACTGGAGCTACACGCACAAAATCTATACGGCAAAGAGTACACACACCTATAAACAGGCAAGCGAATGAGAAAGAAAGTCGAGGAGGGCCGCGTTCTATTCTATTCACGTGCGGGCAAAATCGATTTTCAATTGCGGCCGAGCGAGCTGCGAACTATGCTTACGTTATGTATTATATACCTATAGACATAGGACGCGTCTTCCGAGTGAAATATTGAAACAAAACGGAATCGCACCCTCCCTCCACTGCAGGAGATGGCAGCGCAACAGCCTCGAGCTTTTCTCTCCGAATTAGATATTA